GAGGCTGTAGTGATTCTCACTTGTGGGGTTCGCCAGGAAAATGAAACCCGGTCATGCTTGTCCTGCATTAACCTCTGTTCACATGCTATTTCTGCACGATCCAGGGTGACAGCAGCATTCGCTACTTTGAGATCACAGATGAAGCCCCCTTTGTCCATTACCTCAACACCTTTACCACCAAGGAGCCACAGCGAGGCATGGGCTACATGCCCAAGAGAGGACTGGATGTGAACAAGTGTGAGATTGCCAGGTAAACCTGACACTCCCAGAGCTGTTGTGTGGCTGGGAAGAGCTGGATCATCTCTCTGCATCTGAGACACTCTGAGCCCTTGCAGGGAATAGGGGTGGGGGAATTTCTAGGGTTAATGGGCTAAGAATCTCCTCAAATGATGACCATGTTCTTATTTTATAGTAATAAATGAGATTTCCATGCGTCTTGTTTTTTGTTGATTCCTCCGGAGGGCGACCTAGCACACAGCTGGTCATTGCTGGAACTAATGGATTCTAGCAGAATGAAAAACCTGTTCATTCCGAGAATCTACAGTGTGTTTTTGCAGTTCAGAGAGGCTTTATTTCCCCTGAGCACAGAAAGCTTTTAGATGTACTTGATTGCTGTGAGAATTTACATTTCCAGCAGCAGTCTTTTTTTACTCCTGCTTTTATCCACATTTGCTTAACCTCTGTTACATGTGCATTGTTTTCTACTTCTAGGTTTTATAAGTTGCATGAGAGAAAATGTGAGCCCATCATCATGACTGTGCCCAGAAAGGTGAGCGGGTTAATGCTTGATAGTGCCAACTAGTGCATTTTGTAGAATGCTTGTACACAATTTAATGAAGATAGCAGGGCTGGTTTTAACCCCACATGAACGTCTTTATAGTGAAGTATGTTTTGGCATTCAGTGTTTTCCATGTACTTGACTTGTCCACTTTAATGTAGATTTTGTGCAGCAACTAATTTGTTCTGAGTGAGATTTAAACGCGTGGAGACATGTACTATTGCATATACTAAACATATAGCCTGTTAAGAAACAGCTGTCAGTGTATTTGAGTCCAGTGAGTTGATTAGGGATGAGCGATAGTCAGTTGCATCGGAATGATTAATGTAAGAAAATGTAAGTTTTTTTCCCTAGATTGTTTAAAGCATTCTCAGATATTTGCCTTCCTGATATCTCCAAGTACATCTTTGTCTAATAGTCCATTGCAAGATCACACAGCAAAGTACAATCTTTGTGTAGCCATAGTGCTACATTAAAATGGGACCTTCCAATAGAAGTCAATGGCAGCAAAGGGACAGGAGATAAGTTTGTGTGGACAGCCTTCAGTGACTCCTGGAACCAGGAAGCAGCTTGCTGTGATGAGCTTGGGCACCTCCTATTCCCTTTGATTTCCTGTCCTGACGGCCATCTCTGCTTCCCCCTCCTACAGTCGGACCTTTTCCAGGATGACCTCTACCCGGACACGGCTGGCCCGGACTGCTCCCTGGAGGCCGAGGAGTGGTTCGAGGGCAAGAACGCGGACCCCATCCTCATCTCTCTCAAGCAAGGCTACATCCCCGGGAAGAACCGGGAGCTCAAAGTGGTCAAGAAGAACATCTTGGACAATAAGCTGAACAAGAAGGCAGAGCACACGGGCCTGGCTCACAAGACCCCCTCTGCCACTCCCTCAATAGTGAGTATTACACAGCAGGAACGGCCCCATTCTGGAGATTGAAGTCTGCTTGTTGTTCCACATGTGGCCAGTAGGTGTCGGTGGTCAGTAACTTCTCATTTAAAAAAATCTTTTTGCCTGACCTGTTAATACAGTAGAACTTGGAGGTTCACTGATCTGGTCAGCATTTTGATGCCCATGTTTTACCAGTCGCTAGCTGATGTTGCAGTTGCTTTGAAAGTTTGCTGAAGTCATGAGAGTTTGCAGAGCTCCTCTATGCAACTCGATAGAGAAATAACATAAGCCAGAGCAGGTGTTTAACTTGGACAAAACCCACAGCACAGTTTTTATCTGTTATCACCTTTTAAACCCATTCTGTTGCCTAAAGCACACAGGGGCAGGTGGTCTTGCTGCTTTGTTCCTTGGGAGAATGCATGTTCAAGCCCATGCTCATGTGCCTTACGTGCCAGTTGAGTTTTCAAAATTTTAAAAATCCTGAATGGTGACCCTGTTAATGTTTTCTGTAATTTACTTATTGTATATCAATTTTATTAACATGAGCAGTTGTTAATTTCTTACACATATATGAAGAGATTTAACAGTTTATTTTTTATGTCAATACATAACCTGGAAGAAAGTAATATAAAATACTTCTCTAAATCGGGGAACCAAGCCCAGTTTTTCCCCTGTAGGGTCTGTCATTTGTGCATTGCAAATCCTGCAAATTTGCAGGCTTTCTCAGGAACGGTGCTCTAACACAAATCTAGCTCTTACTGTATGGACTTGGAATGTTTGTGCACTTAACTCTTCAATCTGCATGTTGTATGATGCTGGCAAAAAAAAAGACTAGGTTACAATCAGGTCCTCACGTGGCAGCAATGCTTAAATTTTTCCCTTCCGACCCACAAAACCAGAAGATGCCACTTGTCACTGAGCAAGAGCCTGTCCCACTGCAATCGGCAGCCTTTCGGTTAAAGGCGTTTATTAATAAAGACCCAGCCCTTCATAATGTGAACCTCCAGCTTGTGACTGTAATCTATAATCACATACAGTTTGTCATCTCCCAGAAGAAACGTGGGGCTGGAGCCTACTGGCACTGAAATTCAGTCCTTTTCAAGCAGACTTTTTTTTTTAAGTATGAAGCGTTCTGGCATAGATTACTTGGTGAGCGCAGGATAACAGATGGGCATGGTAAAGGCCTTTTCAAATTTGTTAAAGTACATTTTTTATAAAATAACTCATCCACCCACTCACCCACCAGACTAGAACAACCACAAGCAAAATCTTCTCTCCTGCTGATCCAGCCCACAGTCTTATCCAGTTTTTACAGCTCCCCGTCACACTTCCTTTTGAAGAATACCGTGTAAAGCTGAAATTGTCCTGTGTTATCTCACTTCTGCATACTTCAGTAGCTGGGTGGAAGGCTCTGCCTTTAACGAAAATGGGGGGAGATCAGAGTATCCTTCGTTCATGACTTGAGTTTGTATGGAGGGGTGCTGATCTAAAATACCTCGTTGAGTAGGAAGGAAAGCTCATCTAGAACTAAACTTATGTACCGTCGATGCTACGGAAGCCTAAATGAGCTTGATAAACTTTTCAGCACTGTGTTTGCCATGTGGAACTGAACCTTCACCAGATGCTCTCTTCCTTCTCCACCAGCAAAATGAAGCCAAGATGGACGAGGTCCTTAAAGAAATCAAATCCCTTAAGGACCTCGTTAGCAGTCAAGAGAAGCGAATCGCCAAACTAGAAGAGCAAATGTCCAAGATTGCAATCTGAGGACCCGCCCCTGCTACTGTTCAGGACGATCCATTGGCTGGGAGGAGGCAAGGTGGGCGGGGCACGTCACTGCCAGCCTTGATGACGGTGTCCCGCCTGAAGCCGGTTGCCTAGCAATGATTCCAAGCAACATTCCAAGATGAACTTTTTTTCTTATCCTTGCCCCCCACTAACACGGTGAAAACAATTCTTGCAATTAATATTCCAGCTTTTTATTGAAAGTTTTCATACATTTTAATAAGTGGCAATCTGACTCTTTTTTTTTTTGTTGTTGAAAAGTCTGATTTTTTTTTTATTTTTAATTGTGACCAAGAAAAATCTGATGTGAACAGTTTGTACTTACTGTGTTATACCCAGATGTTTTATATGTAGCTATCAGTATTGCATTTTTCCCTTAATTTCTTATTGCCAAATCTTAAAGGAGTTCTGTTTACACACCTCCTTGACAGTATTTTTCTTTGCTATTATTTGCATTCAAAAGACAAAACATAAGGGACAATGCAATAGGATGGTATTGTTTAAAGAAGGGGGGTGTTTTTTGCGGTCAATTAAACTGTCTAAAGAAAACCATTTCCTGAATGGGGAGGAATCAAATTGAAATTGATGTTTGTTTATTGCCATTATTGCTTGGGGTACGGTATTGAAAAGCTTAAGGAATCCATGATCCTTTTTGCTGTAAATGTTTTTTTGCAAACTAGCATCCCCAAGACTATACAAAATAGGCATCTTTAGATTTTTTTCAGTGGATCATATTCTAAGGGATCAAATGTCTTGCCACATGCTTCCCATCAAATTCTGACAACAGTCTGTGCATGCAATAAAGATTTTACTCATTCAAAACAGTCTTCTCCACAATAAATCTCTTTAAAGTTGTATTAATCTCTTTTCATTAGCCTTCTCTGTCCTATATACCTTGATCTCAAGCCAGTTTAAAAACTGATAACTGGTAGCAAGATACCGTTCACAACCTGATGGCTATTGTGGTTACTTTATGCTTTATGTTGATTTTTTTAGCATTGTTTTTTTATTATTTTTTTAAAGCTGGGTCTCTGATCAAATTTTCAATATTATAGTCCCTGTGAATTGTAACATAAATGACAAAAGTTGTATTTAACATCCTTCTGAAAAAATAAATTGAGGATAAGTGTAATGTCCCTTCCCAAGATGTTTAAAAACAAGCATGTTTAAGGCTGAAGTTAATAGGTTTATTTTCCTGTTGCTTTTCTTGTCTACCACTGTTGTAATTTAAAAGTTACTTTTCAGCATCAGGTGGTGAAGATCAGAATTGTTTCCAAGAGGCTTCAGAGCTGCAGAGAATGGAAAGAAAAGAAATTGGTGTTCTGACCGAACGTATGTTTCTGCTTTTGCTGCAATTTAAGACCTCTACAAATCCAAACCTCATCCCTTTTTAATCCTTAAACCTGAAAGCAGTTTATTTCCTCATGCTGCAAAGTCCGTCACCTTGCATATTTCTGCTGGAAAAAACAATTATCCATTTCCATTCAATACGTGTTCTGAATTGCTTAATGCAGGTTGAAGAAATTGATTTATAAAAAAAAACTTTGAATAAAAAGCTATTAAATTTCTCAGTTTATCTTGTTCTGAAAAAAGACAGACCAGATCTACTCTGAGGCAGATCCTTAGTTTTAAGTCTTAACATTTTCTGTTCTCCAGAAAACTCTTGCTATTGATGTTCCCGAGGTGACAGAATCTTCAATTCCCCGTCCATCAAATTCTGCACTTTCCTCTTGCACTGGATCACAACTCGCTAGGAAAAAGTGGAATGAGATTGTCTGTAGTAAAGCTTGTACAATAGCTAGAGCAGTAATCTAGTCCTAGCACTCTTCTTCTGAATTTAAAATCCCTGTGTTCCACCAAGTGATATGGAGAAAGAAGTGAAAGCTGAAGTACCCTGAAATAGCATTCGTTAGCTACTATCCAAGCTAAAGAACCTGCCGACTCACAATGGTGCCTAGAGAAGGTCAGTAAATGCTTCGTTAGTTTATCCAATTATTTCTTTGCAGTTGATCGATAGGTCTGGATACTGCATGTGCTTGGGAGAGGATCACACTGTTTGCCATGCTGCTCCTGGGTGCCCGTCTGCAGAGCCGTCAAGCACCGAGACCTGTCTCGAGCTCCACAGCGCCCAACGCTCATCAGCATAACTGCAGTTATATCGCTTTTCTGGACACTCCACTCAAAGCCACTTACAGGTAATGGGTAATCCCACTACCACCACCAATGTGTAGCACACACATGGATGATGCGAAGGCAAGCAGAGTGTGCCAGTTCCCTCGTCACACACCTGCTATCATTGAGGAGTAGAACAGAGTGATAACACTTCATAGATGGGGATTATTAGGAGGCCATGGTGGGAGGCCAGGAGGAAATTTGGCCCAGATGCTGGGGTTAATACCCCTATGCTTTTCAAGAAATGCCCTAGGATTTTGACCACAGTTTCAAGACCTTGGTTTTACTTCTCCTCTGAAGGACAGCACCTTTTTACAGTATAGTGTCCCCTACTGGCCCCACTCACATCCCTTCTGGCAGCAACCTTAGTTTTTTCAAAAAGTCTCCCATCCAGTATCTGGCTGGGCTCACACCTTCTGAGCTTAAGTTGGCTGCCAGCTGTGAGCTGCAGGGTAAAATGGCTTCTGGCAAGGTAGAAGTGTGAGGTAGTGGAGACCGTCTCAGCTTTTCAGCAAACGGACAGAGAGATCTGCTGACCAATTCACCCACAACCCTGGGCAACTACTCCCAACTAAGTGTGCAACATCAGCCAATGACTTCCTAGTCACAGCTGGTCTTAATGTTGCTGGTTTATATGCTGTGCTGACACAGGTCTTAGAGGCAATGGTAACTGCCAAAATCTATTGAGATCTCCAGTGTCCATTAATGCATGTGGGAGATTAGTTTTAGAGGCTGTGTAGCTTGTTTGCGAGTGCCCCCACCTTGATTAGTTTTCTTGTTCTTGTAGAATGTTACTTTGTTTGCCTTTTGCCTATTCTGTTTCCCAGTTAAAGACCCTAAAGCCCTTATAAAATGAGGCCCGAGCTGTTTTCCGCTGAACATAACAGCTGCTGAGGTTTTTGCTTCATCAATCTCTTAAGGTGACAGGTGATGCTGATCACTCAGTTTAACACCCATTTCAATCCTGCAGTTTTCTAACTGACATCACGTGTGCACGTTTTTCAGTGTTATGGCTCTGTGACTTAGGATCTGCACCTGTGGCTGGAAGGTTGCCGGTTCGAATCCCGCGGCCAGCAGAGGAATGCTACTCTGTTTGGCCCCAGAGCAAGGCCCTTAACCCCAACTGCTCCGGGGGTGCTGTACAAATGGCTGACCCTGCGCTCTGACCCCAAGCTTCTCTACCCATCTGTGTGTCTCATGGAGAGCAAGCTGGGGTATGCGAAAAGACAAATTCCTAATGCAAGAAATTGTATATGGCCAATAAAGTGATCTGATCTGATCTTTTCTCCAGTTGAACGAGAAATTCAGACGTTCTAAACACAACAGATAGGCTCTGTCCAGTAATTAAACTTGTACTGTAAATGAGTTTATGGATAATAAATATTCTCTACTTGGACAACAATTAATACTTTAAACTAAGTTTGGACTTTGTGAAGACATGACTGGATTTTAAAAGAAAATGTTCTATATTTGGGTTTCAAGATCACTTCACTTGCATTGGATAATGTTCCAAAACAATAGTTTTACCAAGTATTTTTAAATAGGTGGTCTGTGCAAGGGCTGTTACGCAGTATCACTGCAAGTGTTGTAATTATAGATTGCATGAGTAAAACAGGAAATATGATGTGTATCACCAAGACTTAAAATATCAAAAGCTGCCCGTGTTAGCCATTCCGTAGTCATGGTAGTTTTCAAAATCCCCTTGCTTAACTTCCTTAACCCTTTAGAAGTGCCAGCAGTTACACCTCTTTTGACCTGACTGAAAATTCAAGGAAAGAAACTTCACTCTCCTTGGTGTTTCAGTGTCAGACAAGGGGGGTGGGGGTGGGCTTCAAAGCAAAACATCGTCAAGTTGTGAATTATGGAACCGAGGAAGAGAACTGAAAGAATTGTTCTTTGTATTGGGGGGTTTGATGTTCACTTACAGGTTTGACTCACTTCTCTGCTTGGTTCTGATGCGTTTCCGAAGCCTTATTAGTCCTGTCCTGAAGGGTTTTTCCAGTGCTGTTCTGAAGCTATGCACTGCCTCACTGGCGAACAGCATGTGGTCAGTGGTACGTGGGTCAGCGGGACAGATGTGCTTTGCTCACATTTTTGGAGCGCATTTACCTTCAAGTGTTTAACCATCAAGAGCCCAACACTTTCTGCTTAGGAAATTAGGATTTAGAGTGCTCCTATCAAACGTCATGCAATTAAAGAAAAATATGAAGGGAAATCCTGCAAATCCAATTGTTTTAGCACTTTTAGTTTTTGAACAGTGGAAATGGATTTATTCTTAACACCAGTGACAGAGTGTAACATCTCAGAAAAAAATACATTACAATTTTCACTTTCTGTAATGCAATCAAAGTCCTGTGTTTTTCTTGCATGTCATAGCTTATAAAACCTTGTAGAACACAACTAATAGAAGGTATATGATCCTTTTTTAGTGCAAGTTAAAAAGGATCTCCTCCTTTCTTCCTGAGTTTTCAAACTTTGTAGGTGGGTAGATGTGTGTTTAGGCAGTAACAGTATTGCTAAAACACTTAACAGAGAAGCTGAAACAGATTTTCCTGTTACTGTGGGTGACATCAGTTTTGGCCATTTTTTTGGGCTTCCTTACCAGCTGTGCGTGCTGCTTATGAGAGAACAGAGCCTCCGGTCTCTATTGAAAAATAATAAAACTGAATTTTCACTCATTTTGTTCAAACACTACTTCTGGTGTTAGGGATTGATTATTGAAAACAAATGTAACAAAGCAAGTGAACATTTGTGTTTGCTTTTTCAGGGGTGATTGAGAATAATAGCCACTCTCTGCAACACTGTACAACAAGCAGGTGTGAAAGCTGCAATAGTACAAAATAATTATGGCTTTTAGGTTTTCACACCTTCATCGTGTGAAATAATGGCCCTTTGCAGTGTCATTTAGTGAGCTTTGCACTAATAATCTTTTTTCCATCCAGGTTCATAGCATTTCAAAATCTATTTTGCATTCATGAGATCCTTTGCTGACTGGCACTTGCTGCTCCCAAAATAAAGCACAAGGATGTGCAACTTTGTATTGACGAACCAACTATCTTTTTAAATTGCAAAGGGACAAGTAACGGTTTATTCCATGCTGAAAAAGAAACACAACGTTATGGCTGTGGAGCCTTCTTCACCTACACATTTGCAGCCTACGCATGCTGATGCAGCTTCCTACATGAACTATGTTGAAATTGTATCTGGCTGAGGACCCAGCTATAAGACTAGGGGGTAAGCCAGTGTATTGCCATGTTCGTAAGTCAAAGCTGAATCCTTTGAATAAGTGTCAGTTCTTGTGGTGCCGCACAGCTAACCTTGTCCTTGCAAAGTGCTAGACTAGTCCTTGAACTGGTTTCGTGGCTGAAAACAATTTGGGGGGGGTACTATAGATAAGAATATTAAAGGAATGAAATCTTTTCGATCCTGGTTACTGCCCTGCCAGACGAAATTAAAAGAAAAAACGTCATACTGGGGTCCCGTATGTGCCGGTTTGAATTGGGAAGGGGCGTTCTTTCAGGAATATTTGCATCTGATGCCCCTTGTGTACCACCCCGGCCTTAAACCCTGCAATCCACTTAGAGTGGGAGACACCCGAGAGTGCAGAAGCCCTGAAAGCAAGAGGAGACGGTGAGGAGGATGACCCCCTTGTGGACAGAGGCAGAGACAGAGAAGGCCTGTCTGTGTCACAGAGGGAGGAAGTAGTGGTAAATCAGAAGCGCATTTTAACACTTGTGTGTGAACAATTTCCATTCTATCATCAGGCAGAAAAAAGACAGGCTATAGGCAGGAAGTAGTGCACTTTGTATCAACCTA